AATGGGGAGCAGAACAGGCCAACTGACAAAGCGCACTGCTGAGGGGAGCAGCGGGCAAGACTGGAGAGGTCTGCCGCGCCATGTGGGTCACCTTTGGGGCCAGGGATCAAGCTCACACTGAAACAGCTGGCTTGCAGTGCTGCGTCCTAACCTGTTGTGCCACCAGCGAGGGCCCATGGAGGAATTTCTTAAAAAGAAACAAAAAAGGGCCTCCCTGGTCGCCGAGGCTCAGAGCTACCACGGGAAAGGCCTGAGTTCGATCTGGAAGGGAGCTGACCAGAAGGCGCAGCAGACCTCTCCTATCTCTAGTCTCCCCGCTGCTCCCCTCACCAGTGTATTTCAGTAGAGCCATCCATTCTGCTCCCCACTCTGTCTCTGGTGAATCCTCGCGAACCACCCCCCTCCCCCCAAAGGCCCCAGTGATTCCACACACAGACACAAAAGCTGAAATCTGAATGATCAACAAGTATATGCAAATCTGCTCAGCCACTAACAACAGAAGTATGCAAATTAAAACCACTGGAGACAAGCCCTTGTTGGGAGGTTGTAAAACAAACAGAATTGTGGCTTGAAGGACAAACTGGGAAAAACACTGGAAACAGTCTGAGAGTTGGGCCACACTGAAGATGCACCCACTGGCCCCCACGGGGACACACCCCAGAGGCCGGCACCTGTGTCCCACCAGTGCTCACAGCAGCAAAACACGGAAGCGAAGCGAATGTCCATGCATACAAGGAAGGCGCGCCAATTCTCATACAGTGAGCATTACTCACCAGTGACAACAAAATACAACTATCTGCAATAAGGACTTAACACAGGAACGCAAGTTAACCAAAAAATTTAAGTCATGGAAAATATAGTATGATTATATTAAGTTCACAACATGCAAAATCAGACAATACTCTGCTTACCAGTACAAATGTATGTGGGAAAACATAAAGAGGCAAGACAGGGTGGTGCAGGGGTTAAAGTCTCGGTGCTGTCAAGCCAGCCCCGGGGCACCAGTCCTGGGCACCAGTGCTGGCCAGTGCCGCAGGCCTCTCCTGTCTCCTCACTGCTCCCCTTCTCCCCACTCTTTCTTGGTGAATCTTCTCACCGCCCCTCCACCTCTGACCAACACCCCAGTTGTCGTAGGTATAAAGAAAGAAAGAAAGAAAGAAAAGCAAATCTTTAAAAAGAAGAAGAAAGGCAAGACAACAGCAAAATTCGGGATTACTTGGGGCCGAGGGTGGGACCTGGGGAGGATCAGAGAGCCACTCCTCAGGGAATGGTAACATTCTCTTCCTGCCTAGGTGCCCCTGGAGTCTTTGTATCCTTAATCCTCTACCTTACACATTCTTTTGTATCCACTCAATATTGGGGGGAAAAAATTACAAAATTAAAGTGTTCTGACTTTCAACAATGTTTCAAAGCAGTGGCTTCAACAACCTATTCAGCCACTGTGAACCCGAGAGTGGCCCAACACAGACCCGCCTTCCTGGAACGGGAAGTTCTGAGCTCTGGGGCAACTGCTTCCCCCTGGACACAGCCTTTCCTTTCGCTGAGGACAAGAGAGCGGCAATCAGTCAGCAGTTCTGGCGGGAAGAGGCGCAGAGGAGGCGAGCACAGAGCCTCCCGCCAGACCTTTTAGGCGGGAAACTAAGACCGATTTCTGGTTTTGATGCCACAATAAACTTCCCCAGCCTGCTTCCTGGCCCCATCTTCACTCTCCGCTGGAACTGCCACGTCTGGGCCCCACAAGCTGCTGTTCAGACGTGAGCGAACAACACTCAGTTCGAACCATGGCCTCTGCTTCCTTTGAAGCTACTGGCTTCCCAGCCATCTGCCTCTCCAATTCCTGACAAGCATGTTTGGGTTTCTGCAGGTACCTGTGCTGGGGTCACCCTTGTTTGGTCCTCATGCTGGTAAGCAACTGATCCCAAGGGGCCCAGGAGAGTGCCAGGCGGCTGGCCGACACTCGCAGCACAAACATTCGCAGGAAATGCTGCGACCCCTGAGCACTGATGCTTACGCTCCAACCTCTAGCAAACTCAATCAACCTTTTCAAAAATGTGACCAGCCGGAGAAGCCTGTGCTTCTCGTGTCTGGGCGGCTCTCGATGTCCCAGGCTGCTGCCGGCCGTCACCCAGCGTGGGCTGCCTGCACCCTGTCTGCACAGCTCCACCACCCTCGCGGGCACCACACCCCCGGGAAAGCAGGATGGTGAGTGGGCGCCTGCCCCTCTGGCTGGTGCCGCTGACGCCAAAGCTGCCCACAGAGGCTGCCCTTTGGACGGACACACGTACGCACAGAGCAGCTCTGGAAGGACACGCAGACACTCGTCAGTCATCTGAGAGGAGAAGCGGGCCAGGCAGGCGTGGGAGGGTGACTGACTTTCCACAGTACATTCTTCACAACCTTCTGATTTTTGTGCCTCCTACACAGCCTCCTACACTAAGTCCTGTTTTCTTCCTCATCTCTGCACTTCCTTCGTGACTCGCTCAGGAGTCCTCTTCCCCTAACATAAAACAACACGAGAGTCACCGAGCAGGAGTCACCAACAAGGAGCAGGGGCCCTTTCCCATGCATGACCTCATTAATAATCCCACCCAATGAGCTGTGTGGGAGTATTCACTATCCCCACTTTACAGCAGAGGAACCTGAGGCTCAGAGAGGCCAAGCCCTTAGCCCAGGCACCGGGCAGTGAGTGGGTCCAGCAGTGTCTGCATCCTTCTAACCAGTCCCCTAAACTGCCGGGGTTCATAACTGGGTTGCCCTAGGAGACACTTGGCAGTAATGGGAGGTAGTTTTGGTTATAACAGCTGGTGTTAGGTGGGTACTCCTGGCATCTTTATAACAGTTGCAGTTAGGTGGGTATTCCTGGCATCTGTGGGTAGAGGCCAGAGATGCTACTAAAAATCCTAAAGTGCACAGAACAGCCCTCTCCCACCAAACCCTACTCTAGGCTCCCTGGTCGCAGAGGGGTTTAAGTCTCAGTGCTATCAAGCTATTGCCAGCCACTCAGCATGAGTTCAACCCCCCACCAGGCCTCTCCTGACTCCCCACTGCTTTCCCTCAGCAGTGTATTTCAGTCAGTCTGCCTGTTCTGCTCCCCGCTCTGTTTCTGGTGAATCCTCTCAACCCCCACACCTCTGGCCTGTGTAACCCAGTTCTGTATGCATAAATAAGGAAGAAAAGAAAAACCCTGCTCTACTGGAAAAATACAGAAAGAGAAACTATTGTGACCCAAACGCTCACTTAAAAGGCTACTGTTCAGCGTATCTACATGCCACGAGACCGCCAGGTACCAAATCAAACACCAGGTTCTCTCTAATCAAAAGCATGCCAGTCCCCGGAACTCTCTCCAGCTCCAACTGCCAGTTCCTCTTCAGCCAACCAAGGCTGATCATCCACCTCCCAATGTTTACTGAGCACCAGCTGGTGCCAGGAAACCAGCTACCCACTGGGACACTGGGAGGAACAGAGCCTGTCCCTGCATGTGAGCTGCTGGTGGTGACGGGAACACAGACGCTGAAACCTATGGTGAGGATGCACTGGGAGAGCAGGGCAGGGTGTGAAGAAATCACGAAGCAGAGGCTCCCACTTCAGCTGGGGCACAGGCTGGGGAGCACTCAGAAACCACTTCCCAGAAGCATTTGAGTTTGAAGAAATTGAACAGAAGGAAACTACACAGTCCTTGCCGGGCCTTTCAGGGTCATGTCTCTGAGAGCCTACAGGAGGGACTCTTGAGGAAGACCCTGACCTGTGTACAAGCTGGATCATCCCTCCGGCTGTGAGGAAGGACCTGGCAGCCTGTGTGTTCACGCTGCAGCCCCTGTGAATTCTATGCACAAAATTCTCAAGACAATTCTGTGAGACAGATATTCTCACCCCTGTTTCACAGATGAGGAAACTGAGGCACAGTAATGAAGTAACTGGCCCTCAGGACATGAAGTCACTAAACTGGGAAGCAGGGGTTCACATCTGACTCCAGAGTCCTCGCTGCCCCTCTCTGAGGGGCACTTTACAGTTCCTGACCCCAAACAATGCTCCTGTCACCCAGCTCCTGTGCGCCACGCTCTCTGGAACAGATGTCCATGGTTCCAACAACGTATTGTTATTAACCACACAGCTAAGAGCTCCGTGCTCCCAAGACCCAATCTCACTCATCTCCAAATCCCTAGCACCTCGCGCAGTGTCTGACACAGGCTGAGCACAGAAAATGCTGAATGCAAAGACAAACTTGGCCTCCTTGGGTTTAAGCAGCGCAAGATCTCCCCAAAGCCAGAGCAGCCTGGCTCAGGAGCACACCCAGCCCTTTTTCACCAGTGCAGTGCATTTTCCATCAGCCGGCCCAAGTCCCAAATTCAGCAATCCAGTCACATGAAGACAGAGCAAGTTCTCTCAGGCAGCTTTCCCTTTACTGCTGGAACAACCATGATTCATTCTTTGATTGTACATCAGATGTTTATGTTTGGGGACCATGCCCAACAATTATGTACCTTTAAATATTAAAAACTTAAAAGCAATGAGCGTGTGCTCTCCATTCTAAAGTTCCCTTTCTGCCCAGTGGAATGCATACACGATGGCGGGAGCACCAGCAGCCAGCCTGCACCATGAGATGGAAGCTTGTGTCTGAGTCACATTATCAGTGGAACTCCATTCTTGGATGACGGCATGAGCAGAGCAAGCTGCCCTGCCTGCTCAGGAAGGCCTATTCCAGACTACTGCAAGGTGAAAATAAACTTCTATTGATTCAGCCTCTGTATTCTGTGGCAGTGTTTTGCAAGACAATTAAAACAAGTTCTGAGCATTGCCCCAGGGTTAACCTCCTTTGGTCTTTGTTGCCAAAATACTAATAATATCAACAATTTCTGAACCAAACTCACAAAGATTTGGTCATAACTATACAAGCTTAAAGGAAAAACAACCTTTACGGGTGACTTGAATCACACTGAACCCAGACAGAAAGGACAATCAACCTCTGGGTTTGTTTCATCCTTGAGTATTAACTGACATACCTCAGATTTCCAAGCAGCCCAGGCTACTCTTTTCTGACAGTTTGTCTGTGTAAACTCCAGCTTGGTTCTCTTCCTCCAGCTCATTACCTGAGTCAAAGACAGTCAAGTGGAAATCTGATAAGAAACTGCAGAAAAGAACTCATTCCCAAGAGCTGCCCTTTGTGCTCATCAAACAGGCAAATGCAGAGCACTGAGCAAAGTCTGGCATACAGAAGGTGCTAAGCAGATCACTGCTGACCTGCTGCAGGCCAGACTCTGTGCTGGACACCAGGGACACAGAGAAATGAAACCAGGAACTGCCATTTTCCAAAAGATGTCGACACTGTCAGTGAGGGAAAGCCCTGAGGCTATGCCCAGCATTCTGGTAGCACTAGCCCTCCCCTGCATACTCGTCTCATTCATCCCCTCCTACAACTTTAGTGACCTTTGACAGAGCTTCAGTTACCTCACCACAGAGCAGCGCCATGACAAAGTTTGACGGCACCTACTTTCAGCACACCCAAAAGTAAGCTTAGCTTCCCACCTGTTTCCTCGCAAACAGAAGCACGGACCCCCTAACGCTCACAGCTAAGTAATTACCACGTTTGGTCAACCTCCAAAACATTTCTTCCCACCCCTCTACCTCTAGCCTAATTCGAGGCCACCTTCGCTTCTCACCTGGATTATTCTAGCAGCCTCCTAACTGGCCTCCAGGCGCAGTTCCTATAATACATTCTTCACATGGCCAGAGTGACCCTTCTCATCAGCCAATCTGATTCTTACATAGCTTCTCATTAACCTAAAATGTAAAGTCCTCAACTAGGTTTACAAGTTCCCCAAGGACTAGACTATAGCTTGTTGTAGTCTTCTACCTAATCTCTGCCTGTAGGCAGAGAACTTAATTCATTATTACATAGGCCGCTGAAATTTCTCAGCAATTCCATCTTCAAATGCAAATCCTCTCCCTGTCTCCTGCCTCTACTCTCCCAAACACCCTTTAAGTCTCACCTTCCCCAGCTCCTGGGGAGCAAAGGTGTCTGTGAATTAACCCAGAAGACTGAGAGGGCTCCCAAGGCAAGGAGGCCTTTGCTTCCACCCTGCAGTGTCCGAGTTGCCTGTTCACCTGCAAGTCCCCTGCAGGAGTCTCTGAGAGCTGAGGTGGGTGCTGATGAAGAAGCTACAAGGAACACATACACTTTTACTTTGCTCCGGAGAGGGCCTTCTCACACTTCACACTATTATCTCCTTTAATCCTGATCACACTCTTAGGAAACTGATTCTATGAACATCTCTGCTTTAAGGATGAAGGCATAGAGGTAGAGCAAGAGAAAACAGCCTGTATCTCAGCTAACAGTTGGCCCGCACAGAGTGCTACAACCCCCAGCTGCCCGGTTCCGCAGCTCACGTTTTAAACACTGTGCCAGGACGGGGCCGTCGGGATCGCTTGTTCTAGCCTCGGAGCCTACCGGGCGCTGACCACCGTCAGGGGGCCGAACTAACAAACGAATGAATGAACGAATGAGTGAATGAATGAAATCATCTTATACACGGACGGGTCGGGTTCCCACTCTGCCAGCACTTCGCAGGCCCTGACAGGACGGCGTCCTCCCGCTCCCGCCGGCCGGCGGACAGGCGCTGCCCCGGCACCCCGCCACCTCGCGGCCGCAGAACGCCCACCCGCCGCGGCGCGCGGGGTCAGGGGGCGGTGACAGCCGGGCGGCGGGGGCGGAGATGCTACCAGCTGGGGTGTCACCAACCCGGGAGGTGACTCGCGCTCCCTCGCCGGGACGGCCACTTCGCCCGCACACTCCCCGCCCGCTCGTGCGGTGGTGCCCCCCCTCAGTTCGGGTTGCCCAGCACCCTCCTGCCCCGCGGGATCCCCTCAGTCCGGGTTTCCTTCCCATTCCACTTGCTTCCCCTCCCCCACACAACCGTCCCCGGCTTGCCACCCCGCCCTATCCTCCGCCACCTCCGCCCAGCTCCCGGGACTTCCCCAGCGCCGGGTGCTCGCTGACACTTACCTGCCATGTCCTGGACCCCACCGCCGAGGGAGGTGCATCACGGCCGCGAGAAGGCCGGGGACGGCACTTCAGAGCAGACAAAGGGCGCCGCCATGTTAGAGTCGGGCGGAACCGACCTCGCCGGCTTCCAGGCTGCAACTTTCGGCGCATGCGCAGCGCTTGCGCTCCTGCGCGACCGCGGACAGGCGCATGCGCCTAGCTATCCAGCCTGTCCACATTACAGTACTTCGGCAACTAGGGTTGCCCTCATTGTAACTCTTGCTTGGTTTTTGAATTCCAAGTATAACAGTAGCAGCTTCCGCGCATTCAGCGTTTAATGTGTGCGAAGCAGTGTGTGAGGCGACTTACGAGCATTATCTCACATCCTTTCACTAATAATAGAGTATTATTCTCCCCCCTCCTTTTTTTCCCCTGTAACTTGTAAAATTACAGTGCAATCCATATGCAAGAGCCCTCCAGGCCCAAAGAGCGTGTGGCCATTTCTACCCTGCTTGCACACTATTCTCCTTCTGAAGAAGGGAAAAAGGAGGCTCAAAAAATGTAAATTAACTGTACGTGTAGTGAGCAGGTAGGAACCGCAAGTCCCCGACTCTATTTTTCTACCTTCTGAACCAAGCGTGACCCCCTTGCCTACTTGTGGCAGATCCAGGATTTGTCTGGGAGTGAATGAGGTGCCTGGAAAGCAAGTGTAGGCGTGAACTGTTCCTTCGTGGCCTTTGGGACTTTTCAGCACCTCCAGGTCACTGACTTCTGTCCACTTCCTCACAGTTCAAGGGCTTCCTACTTTCTTTACCTATAGTCTTGTTTTCTAAGAGTCATACTCTTAATAACAGACTTGCCACTATCTTAAGTTCTTTTGCTGTCTTGTCTTTTTGCCACATAAGCTTGGTAAGAGTTCCAACCCTTGGTGGCTGGGGGTATCTTGACGGCCTAGCTTTAACCCCTGAGCAACCAGGGAGGAAACGTGGTACTAAGTTTTAAGTTAACATATTCACAAGGGACCATTATTCTGCTATTACATATATCTGACCCCCCAAAGGGTTGGATAGACAGTTCTCAGCAGGCTTCTTTCTCTTCAAAGAGGGGTGGGAACCAGAGGCTAATCCAGGCGGTGCACCTGGGGAGGCCTATTGTCATTCCCAAAGTAATGCAGATTGTTTTCCTGGAGAGCAGTGAAAGCCTTGAGTTTGGAAGAAACTACAATTCTAGCCCAAATCCCTTGCCCTTTCAATTCCCCAATCAAAGAACACTCATCACTCATCTGTCCTGAGTCTCAGTCCTTTTCCTAACTGAATAGCACTCGCTCCTTGCTCTCCCTTTTATGATCTAGAAGAATAGAGTTGGGGGGATCTTACCCAGTTCCAGGTTTATCAGTAAACAGGTTTTCTTTATCTGAAAATCTGAACTTTGAGAATAAGAATGAGGCCACCCTCCCCATTTTTTTGGCCACCCCTTTTTTGTCTCTTAAGTCTCCCCGTCTCCACTCTTGATACCTCAGTTCCAAAATGCAGGGGGCGCAACGGGCTAAGTCTCCCTGTGGAGCTATCTGCAGCAGTGTATTTCAGTGAATCTGTTACAGGGCATGGAGAGAGGGGCACCCCTGAATTCCCAAACCTGCCTGCTCTAAGTGGGTTCTGCCATCCGCCGCATCAAGACAAAACATACAAAACTTTAATGAAAAGGGACTTTAATACAGTGAGTATACAATAGGGAACCCAAAGAATATAACTTCTAAATCAAACACCTGAAGTGACCCATCCCCTCGTGGGCAAAAGTCACAAAAGGGATTGGCCCAAAGCAAGGCCTGAAAGCCGCCACAAGACTAAAGCACCTTCTGGCCCGGACCCACGGAAAAG